GCTTATACTTAAATTGAAATCTCTCTTAGCCTATAACCAACATATAATCTCAAACTTAAATAACTTGAACATGAAATCTCCTAGGACATATCAACGACACACGACATTTTACACACACTAGAATTGGTTTTCTAGGATCACTGATTCTAGTCTTAGGCTATGTTGTTAGTATGTTTTGGTGTGATACGGGCACCTTCGCCTGGACGGTATCTTTGGCATGTTTGTTTATTTTATGTACTATGAAGTCATGCATGCCTTTTTATACACATTGCTTCACAGTGCACTCTATTTATATACATCATATCATTACTACACAAGTGAAACTGTCAAAGTAGAATATACCTAGGATGCATATAAAAAAGATTCAATATAGAATGTACCTAGGTCTAAATGTATATGGAAAGCGTCAAATATAAATGTGAAGTGTCAAGAGTCGTAAAAATTTAACGGTATTTTCTTATATACACATATAGGATTCAAAAAAAAAAAATTCCCTCTCTTTTGGAGGATATTCCCTTTTAAAATTCTATAAGAAAATCTAGAGCTAGAAGATGATAAGCAAATACATTTAAATCTACATGTTTCATTGGTGTAGAAACTCAAGCATATTGGGGTGGAGCTTAACCACCTTACTTTATTGCAAACCTTGAGCTCTATTTATCTTTCCAAATTAATGCATAAAAATACTTTTTTTATGCATTTGCTTCATGCATACATGACGCTAGGTAAATTCATTTGCATATTTTGAATCCTTTTTCTCCATTGTGTCCTGTTAAAAGTCAAATTCTCATTTAAATCTAATAAAGAAAGATCATTTATAATATTTTCTAACCAAGTCTTTTTAGGTCTTCCTCTACCTTTCTTAACATAAGTCAAATCTAATACCTCTACTTTCATAACCAAGTCATCCGAAGGCCACATTTTTATATGATCAAACCATCTAAGGCAACTCTCTCTAATCTTATCTTCCACTGGAGCTACTCCAATCTTTTCACGTATATGCTCATTTCGTATCCTATCTCTAAGGGTAAAGTCACTCATCCACCTGAGCATCCTCATCTCTGCAATACGTAACTTAGACTTACGCTTCTCTTTTAATGGCCAACATTCGGCACCATAAAGAATTGTAGGTCTCATCACCATCTTATAGAATTTTCCATTAAGTTTGAGGGGGACTTTTCTAACACACAACTAGCCCGATACATTCCTCCACTTCAACCATCCAACTTGAATTCTGCTGATAATACCCCCATCTATTTCACCATCAGTCTGAACAATAAATCTAAGATATCTAAAATGTGTACACTTATTAATGACTTGATCGCCCAAAGTCACAATCCCCTCAATAGGTTTATATATTACTAAAATTACACTTCATATATTCAGTTTTAGATCTACTCAAGCAAAAATCTTTAGACTCTAAGGTTAGCCTCCATAATTCAAGTTACCTTCAACTCCCTCTCTAATCTTATCAACAAGAAGAATATCATCAGCAAAAAGCATACACCAAGGTACATCCTCTTGCAAATGTCTAATGAGAACATCCATGACTAAAGCAAAAAGATATGGGCATAAGGCTGATCCTTGATGTAATCCAACTGAAATAGGAAAATACTTAGTCAAACTACCTTGTGTATGAACACAAGTAATAGCTCCTACATACATAACTTTAATGATTTGAATATAAGCGTTATTAGCTCCTTTCTTTTCAAGAATTTTCCATAGCACTTCTCTTGGAACTTTATCATAAGCTTTCTCTAAATCAATAAATATCATACTTATTCTCTCTATATTTCTCCATCAAACTTTTCAATAAATGTATGCCTTCCATAGTAAACCTACCCGGCATGAATCCAAATTGATTTTGATAAACATTAGTATCACGCTGCAACCTCCGCTCCATAACTCGCTCTCATAGTTTTAAAGTATGACACATTAACTTAATTCCTCTATAATTTGCACAATCTTGTTCATCACTTTTATACTTAAAAATAAGAATTAACACACTCATTCTCCACTCAACTGGTATCTTCTTATCCTTCAAAACAGTATTAAAAAGTTTAGTAAGCCAAAAAATTATTTCATCTCCTAAGCATTTTCATACCTTTATTGGAATATCATCAGGTCCAACAGCTTTTCCACACTTCACTTTCTTTAAACCTCTCTAACTTCGGTTTTACTAATATGCCGATAAAAACAAAAAAAAAATCATTTGGGGTGCTAGGGTCACTAAAGTCGATCGTATTTTCACATTCTTCATTAAAAAGTTTATCAAAATATCACATCCACTTTTGTTGAATACCATCTTCTAAAAAAAGTATTTTTTGATCTCCATCTTTAATATACTTCACTTGAACTAAATCCTTACCACTCATATCACTTTATTTGACTAACTTATACATATATATTTCTCCCTCCTTAGTATCTAATCTATTATATAAATCATTAAAAGCTAAGATCTTTACATCGTACATTATTTTCTTAAATTTCTTACGTGTCTCTTTATATCTTTTCCAATTATCAGAATTCTTACATCTAAATCAATTTTTATAACAAATTTTCTTATTTTTTATCTTTTCTTGCACATTTAGATTCTACCACCTATTTTATTATTAGGAGTTTTTTCCTTTGATACTACAAGCACATCTTTTGCACTATTTTTAATATCACTAGTCACTTTTTCTAACATAATATTAGCATCCTCAATCACAGATAAAATCTTAAGATCTAAAATCTTACTCTTAAAAATATTTTTGTAAATATTCTTTAAATGCCCTCATCTAATCCTAAAATATCATTTTACTTTATTATTTATTTTCTTCCCCTCCATTTAAAGTTCAAATATAATAATCAATGTTAGGTACCAAAATTTTCACTCGAAATAATTTTACAATCTTTATAATCTAAATAATCTAATTTTCTTATAAGAAATTAATCAATCTGAGTTTTATTCTATCTATTTTTATAAGTGATGAGATGCTCATCTCTTTTCTTAAATAAGATATTAGCAATTAAAAAAATCAAAAGCTAGAGAAAAATTTAATATGATCTTATCACCTTCATTTGTCGTTCCAAACACATGGCCACCATGGATGCTTTTAAAATCATCTACCTCTTTACCAACATATTCATTTAAATCTCTTCCAATAAAAACTATTTTTAAGAGGTATCTTTTGAATTAATTTTTCAAAATCATTCCAAAATTTTAATTTTGAACCCATCTCCAAATCTATTTGAGGAGCATAAGCATTTATAATATTAACAATCTTAACATCAACAATAATCTATAAAACTATAATTTTATCTCTAATTCTATTAATTTTTATAATATTATCGTTCAAACTCTTATTAATAATCACACCTACACCATTTCTAGTAAGACTCATACCTGAATATTATAGTTTAAAATCTAAATTATCAATTTCTTTAGTCGTCTCCTCAACCCATCTAGTTTCATAAATACACAGAATATTTATCTTTCTATAAATCATAATATCTATTAATTCCATTAATTTTCTTATAAGAGAACCAATATTATAAGTTCTTATCCTAATTTTAGTTTCATAGACTAACTTCTTTGCCCACATTTATCCTTGATGTGGGAAATCTTGCCTATTTAACATTTCACCAGAGCGTCAGTACAGCGGCCCTTGCACACTTGTCTTTGTATTCATGCCATACAACGCATCACTTCCGGGGACGTCCTAACAATAACAACAATAATATCAAACCTTTATCTCACTACGTGGGGTCTGCTACATGAATCTTTTTTTCTATTGTATCCTATTAAAGGTCAAATTCTCATTTAAATCTAATAAAGAAAGGTCATTCCTAATATTTTCTAAACAAGTATTTTTAAGCCTGCATCTACCTTTCTTAACATAAGTCAAATCTAATACCTCTACTCTCCTAACCAGGTCATTGGAAGGCCATCGTTTTATGTGACCAAACCATCTAAGGCGACTCTCTCTAATATTATCTTCTACTAGAGCTACTCCAACCTTTTCACGTATATGCCCATTTCGTATCCTATCTCTAAGGGGAAAGCCACTCATCCACCTGAGCATCCTCATCTCTACCACACTTAGGCCTCGTTTGATTAGGCGTATTTCCTCCGTTCTCTGTTTTAATACGTCAAAATCAGTTAGTGTTATTTGTTTGGAATCAAAACTTATTCATAATTACTTTTTAGTAAACGTTGTTTTTTTGGCGGTTACAAAATTTGTTTTGTATCTGCTTTTTCGTCACAGAACAGAGTTTTGGAAACAAAATTTCAAAACTAACCTAGTCACCACGCACCTCAAAGCATGCCTTATTTGTTGAACTCCTAAACAAATAATTTAAATATGCTTTCAAGTATTAATAAGCACTTTTAAAAATATTACTCAAACATATCTTATTATTGAAACTTCATTTTATTTAACAGCTTTTTCTCAACCTACTTTTCTAAAACTCCTTTTTATATAAGCATAAATCGAATCAAACGAAGCCTTAACTTAGTATTATGCTTCTCTTTTAATGGCCAACATTCAACACCATAAAACATTCCAGGGGACGTCCTAACATTAACACAAATTTTAAAAGATTTATGTCATGATTATTCGATAAGTTTTATGCTAGATGTCGACTACCTAACACAACCCTCTACTTTTCTCATCCAGGACTTGGGACCTAATAACAATAAGAGAATAATACATCCATAATTGAGAGTTTTTCAAGGCTAAGGCTTAGGTTGTAATTAACCACAAGGGCCACAAGGGCTTGCACCCATGAGAAACTGACACCCACATTAAATAAATCACATTCGAGTTGATGTATTGGATTGGGGAAATCTCCTAACTATCAAGTTATGCATATTATTATCCATCGAGATGTGTATGCGAAAGCCACTATTCTCTATGGATAATCATATGTATAACTCTATCTACTCTCTCATGGCCTGCTTGTGTAAAGTGCAAATATCTATGATCATTTTGTCCTATGGGATAGTGCGGTCATACCCTTTGCATTTTGACCCCCGCCAGCAGCATCCTTTCGGAGATCCACAACTTCAAACCAATTGAAGAAATGTCCAACTCACCAAACAAGCCTGCAAAAGTATTGAGATCTTGCATTAAAATGTGGGGGGCGGGCACTTTCCTCAATTTTATGAGAGACACTAAGATGGTTATCATAATATTAATAAGTATCATGATGATTCTTATGCAACTTTTTATTTGAAAAATCCATGGTGATGAATTATTGAATTTGTTATTAGTATGATACGGATGCAGAGGCACCAGCCCTAGCAGTTGATTTGGTGGGGTTCAACAAGTATCTAATTACTTATGTTAGGAGGGGATTAATTAGGAAAGGAATTTCCTAATTTAAATTTAAATAAGAGAGGAAATTAATTAAGGCTATAGTGACCTTAGCACCCTAAATGAAAATAAAGATTTATGTTTTTATCGGCGTATTAGTAAAACTGAAGTTAGAGAGGCTTTAAAGAAAATGAAGGGTGGAAAAGTTGTTGGACCTGATGATATTCCAATAGAGGTGTGGAAATGCTTAGGAGATGAAGGAATTTCATGGCTTACTAAACTTTTTAATACTATTTTGAAGACTAAGAAGATGCCAGATGAGTGGAGAATGAGTGTGTTAATTCTCATTTTTAAGAATAAAGGTGATGCACAAGATTGTGCGAATTATAGAGGTATTAAGTTAATGTGTCATACTTTAAAACTATGGGAGCGAATTATAGAGCATAGGTTGCGGCGTGATACTAATGTTTCTCAAAATCAATTTGGATTCATGCCGGGTAAGTCGACTATGGAAGCCATACATTTATTAAGAGGTTTGATGGAGAAATATAGAGAAAATATGGAGGATCTACATATGATATTTATTGATTTAGAAAAAGCATATGATAAAGTTCCAAGAGAAGTGCTATGGAGAGTTCTTGAAAAGAAAGGAGTCAATAATGCTTATATTCAAATCATTAAAGATATGTATGCAGGAGCTATTACTCTGTTCAAACACAAGGTGGATTGACCAAGTATTTCCCTATTTCGGTTGGGTTACATCAAGGATCAGCCTTAAGCCCATATCTTTTTGCTTTAGTCATGGATGTTCTCCCTAGACATTTGCAAGAGGATGTACCTTGGTGTATGCTTTTTGCTGATGATATTCTTCTTGTTGATAAGACTAGAGAGGGAGTTGAAGGTAAACTTGAATTATGGAGGTCAACCTTAGAGTCTAAAGGTTTTCGCTTGAGTAGATCTAAAACATAATATATGGAGTATAATTTTAGTAGTAATAGACCTATTGAGGGGATTGCGACTTTGGGCGATCAAATCATTAATAAGAGTACACGTTTTAGATATCTTGAATCTATTGTTCAGAGTGATGGTGAAATAGATAGGGATATTATCAGCAGAATTCAAGTTGGATGGTTGAAGTGGAGGAATGCATCGGGCTTGTTATGTGATAGAAATGTACCCCTCAAACTTAAGGGAAAATTCTATAAGATGGTAGTGAGGCCTGCAATGCTTTATGGTGCCGAATGTTGGCCATTAAAAGAGAAGCATAATACTAAGTTAAGTGTGACAGAGATGAGGATGCTCAGGTGGATGAGTGGCTTTACCCTTAGAGATAAGATACGAAATGAGCATATACGTGAAAAGGTTGGAGTAGCTCCAATAGAAGATAAGATTAGAGAAAGTCGCCTTAGATGGTTTGGTCACATAAAAAGGCGGCCTTCCGACGACCCAGTTAAGAGAGTAGAGGTATTAGATTTGACTTATATTAAGAAAGGTAGGGGTAGACCTAAAAAGACCTGGTTAGAAAATATTAGGAATGACCTTTCTTTATTAGATTTAAACGAGAATTTGACTTTTAATAGGACACAATGGAGAAAAAGGATTCATGTAGCCGACCCCACATAGTGGGATAAAGACTTGATGCTGTTGTTGTTGTTGTTGTTGCTGCTTATGATGCAAAAATAACTATTATTATAGAGTTTAATGATTTAAATGTTTATTCAATTAACAATCTTTTTGGATCACTAATTACTTACGAGCAATGAGTGACTCAAAGGCATATTGATGAAGGTGAGAAGCAAAAGGAGAATAACATAGCATTGAAAGTGTTGAATCTAGATTTTTTTTTTTTAAAGTTAAACCCACGGAAGGGCCTACGCGTCGATTAAAGTCAAAATTACAAGTCCTTAAGGAGATTTTCAGCCCGCTAATGCTCAAAGAGCTACAAACACTCAAAAAGAAATAAAAACCTAAGGGCCGAAGATCCCCATCTACGCCAAAAACATTAAGACCTAGAAACATTCTAAAGCGGCACAAAAAAGGTGCCCAAAAATGAGAAAGCTCAAAATAGATCCAATCAGCCCAAGCTTTCAAGCCAAAAACTCCCTCAAGGTGGAAGCAAACCTGCAAAAAAATCACAAAGAACACTAAAGGAAAAATAACAGTAGAAACAAAAAACTTACCAGTTATCATCAACTCCAACCCAGTCTTCATCAACAGACCAATCCACTGAATAGTAAACCCACTAGGAAAACGAAACACTCGCAACAAGCAAACTAAAATGCAGCCCCACCCAGCAGTGCAATTCCAACACCACCCCAGAAAGTTAAACAAAGCAGAAACAACCATGTTCGCGAACAAGCTCGATAAGCACTAAACGAACGAACATGAACTTAACCTGAACCGAACATGAACACTCATAAATTTAAATGAACCAAACATGAACACAAACAATAAAGCTCGAACAAACATGAACCAAACTTGAACAAGCTGATATTAAATGAACACAAACATGAACACTCACATACTCGGCTCGGCTCGGTTCATTTGCAGCCCTACCTAAAACACAATAACATAATTAGAACCTTTCTAATTAGCATAAACATAATTTAGGAAACCTTTCTAAATAAATAGAACCTTCCTAATCAACATAAACATAATTTAGGAAACCTTCCTAAATGAGTTATATAGAGCTGTGATATTCTCCAAGATTGATCTGAAATAAGGACACCATCAGATCAGAATGCAACATGCAGATATCCACAAGATGGCTTTCAGGACTCAAGAAGGCCACTACAAGTTCTTAGTGATGCCTTTTGGGCTTACCAATGCCCCAGCTATCTTCCAATCGCTGACGAACAAGGTATTCCAGCCCTACCTCCTCAAGTGTATTTTGGTTTTCTTCAATGACATCTTGGTGTATAGTCAGTTAAAGGGATAACATGTAGAGCAATTGAGAGTAGTGTTAGTGACATTAATGGAACATCAATTGTATGCCAATTTGAAGAAGTGTTCCTTTAAATAGCAGAGGGTGGAGTATTTAGGAGATGTGGTGTCCAAATCAATAGTAGCTGCAGATTTTTCTAAAATAAAGGCTATGTTGGAATGGCCCTTACCTAAGACCTTGAAAGAGTTGAGGGGGTTATTGGAACTCACAAGATACTACAAGAAGTTTGTGACAAGGTATGGCTCTATAGTATGGCCAATAACAGAGCAACTAAAGGACACTTTCGATTGGGGGCATGCAGCCACCCAAGAATTTGAGCAGCTGAAAAAAGACATAACGAGTGTCCCTGTGTTAGCACTACCAGATTTCAATCAATCATTTGTAGTGGAGACTGATGCATCAGGCTATGGGTTGGCGGTAATCCTCATGCAAAGTCAGAGACCCATAGCTTATTTTAGCCAGGCTGATATTGGTGTATGAAAGAGAGCTAATGGACATAGTATTGACAATACAAAAGTGATGACCTTATCTGTTGGAATGACACTTCATAGTCAAGACCGACTAGAGGAGTTTGAAGTTCCTATTAGCACAGAGTATGGTGACAAAGCAGCATCAGCGATGGCTTTCCAACTTGTTGGGTTATGAATTTGAGATCCGGTACAAGCCCATGATGTTTAGTTATAGTTGTTCAACAAAATGAGATTTTTTAGTTCTCGAGAAGTACAAATCATTAGGAAACCGAGGACACATTATAACGAAAGATGTCAACCATTGATCGAACACCTGATGACATATCAATGTATAGGACAAATCAAGTGTTGCCATTTCATGGGAGGAGTTTGCCATTGCATTGGGCAATAAATATAGTATGCCTTCAGTGAAAGACTTCATAGTAGACCAATTGAGCCAACTAGTCGAGCAAGACATGATTTTCTTAAGTACGAAAGGAGGTTCATGAAGCTTGCTCGCTGTGTCAGAGATGGCGATGATAGAGTAGCAACGTTGTCATCTTTTCCAAATGGGACTTTGAGATCCGTCTAACCAATACTTGTGTCATTATTCATCAAAGATTATGGAGATGTAGTAGAGAGGGCACCACTCATGTAAAACAAGCAAATGAAGGCCCAAGCACAACACAATGGGAATAAGAAGATGGCTGGCAGCCGAGACTACCGACATCACGGTTCACCAAAATGGAGCCAACTGGTTGGACGGTCAACTCCAAGTCTAGGAAGTATCACTTTGGATAATGTTTCATCGACACTAAGTAAAGCAACTAGTGAAAGGTTTTGGCCATTCCCATTCTGAGGAGCTTCTAATGCTGACACTAGGGTGATGACTCGCCAATAAGGAGCAGTAGATGAATGGTAAGAGTATTTGAGGAACCAAGATGAGGAAAAAAGTAGCCAAGACGCAAGGGAACCTAATAGCTTGTGCCTAAGTATAAACCATAAATCTCCATGAGGTTCAAGAGCAACTAGAGTTGGTAACAATAATTATTTTTTAATAACAAATACACCGATAGATTCTGGGTAAACACACTCCTTTATTAATGTGTATTTGTGTCATCAATACAAAGTGTTCAAGTCATTATTACATTTGATTCCCATGAATAAATTTGACATCAATACGAATGGATTGGCTGATACAAAACTATGCCTCCATAGATTGTAGACATAAAAAGGTTAATTTTAGAATCTCTGAACATGCAAGTTTTGAGTTTAACGGTGCCATCTACGTCACTTCTACCATTATCTTTCCAACCAAGGTAGTGAGTCATTGGGAATTGATGTTGGGAACTTATAGTGCACTCGTGAAATCTTAAGATGGAAGTTGGCAAAATGTATATAACGTACTCTAAGACAGATGAAGTCACACCAATATTTTGAATTATCCACATACCCCAAGATTAAGACTGATGAAGACACATTATAACCAATGATTTTGAGTTGGCAAAATGTATATAACGTATTTCTCACATACCTCATTGAGATGAAGTCACACCAAGATTTTGAATTCACAAATAATGTCATCCCAAACACAATTTGAGACAAAGCTGCCGTATCAATAGGTACTGCCTGAGTTGTTGGAATTGAGGCATCATCTCCAAGACCTATTATAGAAAGGTTTCATCCGACCGAGTGTTTCTCCATGGGGGCAATAATATTATGCTTTAATAAGAAAGACGGCAACCCTTTACCTATGCATTGACTCTTGATAACTCAAAAAGGTGATGAATAATGGCAAGTACTATAGTGTTTCAACAAATTTAGCAAAGTACGATTATCCCTTTGTGCCTTGGTATACTTTTAAAGGTGTTAGGAACCTTCAAAAGGTTCCATTGGTGAATCAGCATCAACAATGCATCATAGGCCTACAAGTGTAACGGCATATTTGTTGGAGTGTAAATTTACTAGCAATCTTACAAGAAAAGTGCAATGAATCATTATATTAGTCAACCAAATTGATTAGGAAATAATTAATGTAATTTAGATAAATAGGATATTATCATATTTTTCATGAATAGTGTTAAATTTTTTTTATTCCACTACTTAAGAAAATTTCAGAATTTTCATAAGTACTTTCAAATACCAAAAATTGCCAAAGGAAAAAAGATTCATAACTTAATCTTTGTCAGAGGGTCAAACACTAATTTCCAGAATTTTCCCTAAAATTTTTAAATTTTCTAAATTTGCAGATTTTTTTTCAAGGAGTTGAAGTTTAAATCTCCAATTCAAATATCAAAGGCAACACCACTGAACCAAGTGTTTGGAATTTTTTTCTTTTTTTTTCAAAATCTTTACGTAACCTAAGTATTTTATAATTTCTAAATCAGGAGACATTCATGCAGTTAATGAAATATCAGAGAAAATTGCAATTCTTATAAGTTGAAATGGGTGCCATAGGCATTTCGAATGAGGGCATATAAAAAAGCCTATTGACATGTGGCAAAAGAAAGTCCAATTTGCTAATGAGGTGGATCCTAAGTAGTGACACTTGGAACTTAACACTAGAAGCTAAATCTCATAGTGAGGCCAACTAAGTATGAGGTGCACTTACTTATCCATGCGGTGACCCAATTGATTAACGTAGCATAATAGCATGGTACCACAATATTCTATGACTAAGAGTGACACTAATTAGAAAAATCCAGGAAGGTCTCCATATATTCTAGGTACAACAAGAGAGGGGGAGTTGAATTGGATGTATAACAAGAACTTCAAAATTTTCTTTGAAATTTTTTCCAACTGAAACCCACACACTAAAAAAAAAAAAAAAAAAAAACAATCATGCAAATAAATACAAAAGTGAGCGACTGCAATGTTGAATCAAGAATAACTTAAATGATTAATGAAACTAATAAACAGAATAGTACAAATTAACTCAATCACACAAACTATTTAGAACATCAAACAATAAAGCACGCAAGTGACACCATAAATAATGGTGATTATAAAGATTTAATACTAATAATAATGAGACAAGGATCGCAATGGTCCCCTGCCTCTTTACAAATGATCAAAATGATACCCAACTATTTAAAAGTCTCTTTTTAGTCCTTCGAATTTTTCAATGGGGACCTAAATGATCTCACTGAAGGACTAATTTGATCCCTCTGTAAAGAGTTACAGACCAAATTTGTACATTTATATATTTAGGGATTATTTTAGTCTTTCAAAAAAAATTGGTGGACCAATTTGGTCCTTTTCTATAATAATAACTATAGAAATTTGCTTAAGCATAATTCATAATATTAACTCTAACTAAAGAGCATAAGAGCGCGTAAAGTAGGAATAAATCACTTTGGCATTCAATCAAATAATAAAATAATGAAGTACACAAAAAACAAACCTATAGAGTAAATAAAACAAATGATTTTAATGCAACTATTCACAATCCTTTGCCCACTTGCCATTCGGGATCCTTCTCTCAAACGTCATTCGCCGCCGAACATCTTCTACATAACCATTTAGATTGCTTCTGCTGCTACAAACAAAGGAGTGTCTCTTAGCATCTATTAATGAACCATTGCCCATATAACATTCACAAGCCTCTTTTACATGCCATCCACCTTTCGACCTTCCTCTCAATATCCTTTCATTATCATATCCAAAATCACAATTAAGTCATTTGTGATCCTCCTTCGTTCCTTAGCTCATTAACCATCCGATATAATAGTCCAATCACAAGACTACCACATAGATTCCACAGCATTAACAACAACTTTTCACAACAATTTTTCCAACATCATATTGTCACCCGGCTTTTTCAAATAGTAAAATCCATACCAAACAAAGCCTAAATTGTTTCTTGATAATTGCACGAAAGACTTGAAGCTCAAGGAACTTTGGTAGGACAATAAAAAAGCACCTTCCCCAACGCCATCCATAAACCCATTTTTAAACTAGTTTATTAACATTTTCTTGACATTATTTGTTAATTACATCATTTGATTTCCCAAAAAGTTTATCATCTAAATTAGAGAACATTCAAAAACAACTATATCAAGTCTTTATCCCACTATATGGGACTGGCTATATAACTCTTTTTTTCTCCATTGTGTCCTATTAATAGTAAAATTTTCATTTAGATCTAATAAAAAATCATTTTTAATATTTTCTAACCAAGTCTTTTTAGGTATACCTCTACTTTATTAACATAAGCCAAATCTAATACATCTACTCTCTGAACTGGGTCATCGGAAGACTAACATTTTATTTTACCAAACTATTTAAAGCAACTCTCTCTAATCTTATATTCCACTGGAGCTACTCGACCTTTTCACATATATACTCATTTCACACTCTGTCTCTAAGAGTGAAGCCACTCATCCACCCGAGCATCCTCATCTTTGCAACACTTAATTTTATATTTATCTTTTAATGACCAATATTTTGCACCATAAAGCATTGAAGGTCCAAGGCTGCAAACGAACCGAGCCGAGCCGAGTATGTGAGTGTTCATGTTTGTGTTCATTTAATATCAACTTGTTCAAGTTTGGTTCATGTTTGTTCGAGCTTTATTATTTGTATTCATGTTTGATTCATTTAAATTAATGAGTGTTCATGTTCGGTTCATGTTCAGTTCATGTTCGTTCGTTTAGTGCTTATCAAGCTTTAAACAAACAAACATGAACGAGCTATAAACGAGCTCTACTTTTAGATGTTCATTAACTTAACAAACGAGCTTTATCGAGCTTCCTAACAAACGATTATATCAAGCATGTTCATGAACATATTTAACGATTTTTTTTTAACTATCAAACAAACATGTTCATGAACATATATATGAAAAAAAAACATTTATAATATTTATTTACTTTAAATTATTATTTTAACATATTATATCATTGTATTATAATAAATATAAATATTTTATATGTATTTATATTTATAATTCTAAATCAAATTATTAATATTTTTTTATCGAGGTTATTCACGAGTTCAAAATCGAACACCAAAATTGACCTTTTTTTAAAATCGAGCTTCTATCGAGCTTAATGTCGAGCTTTGTTCACGAAGTTCAAATGATGTGTCGTGAACATAATGAGCAAACGCATTTAGATGTTCAAGTTTGTTTGATTTAAGAATGAGTATTTAATATATTGTTCAAGTTTGTTTGTTTAGTTAATTAAACGATACAAACGAGTTTTAATCGAACCGAACAACGAGTAGTCGTCGAACATTTGGTTCGCTTCGCCCTATGCAGGTCTCACCATCATCCTAGAATTTTCCCTAGTTAAGGGCATTTTTTCTAATCACACAACAAGCCCGATTGCATTCCTCCACTTCAACCATCCAACTTGAATTTACTAATAATATCCCATCTGATTTTACCATCACTTTGACAATTAGATACAAGATATCAAAACATGCACTCATTAGTATGACTTGATCGCCGCAAAATCACAGTCCCTACTAAATCATTACAACTAAAATTACACTCCGTGATTTGTTTTTAAGATCTACTCAACCAAAACTTTAGACTCCAAAGGTTATCTCCAAGTCAAGTTACCTTGTGCCTTAAAAAAAAAGTGATAACAATGATCCAAGTTCTCGATGGCAACACTGTCATGAGAAAAATAAGACTGAAAGAAAATCTCTTGGCTCTGTCATGATAACAATTGCTTCTCAAAGTAGGCAACTGAGCTTTTGGTTAGTCTATAGGCTCCTATTATCAACTGCATTGGATTATTATTCACCCTTCAAGCGTGCACTACCTACTTTATCAAATTCATGTTGCTAGAAACATCCCTAATGGAGAAAGAACTCCACATTCTGATATCGAACAAATGCAGTAAATCATAATGGAACTGCAGAAAGAACTGACAACCAGCAGTGCCTCCAGAAGATTCACTGGTATTGACTATGACCCCTGCATACGGTAAAAACCCTCGCTGATCAGAGATGAATAATCAACAAGAACAAAGAATGTTACTGTAAATGAAGAGAGGTTGTGGATAAAGATACCTTGGAGTACGGGACGTGTGATCGTAGTCGTGGCAGAGGCATCCAGGCAATCAACGAGCATTTCGAAAGATGATGTTGCAAGGGATCCTCCGCCACCTGTCAGGATCCTCCCCTTCACCTTCTCAGCTATTTCCCAGCACCGCTGCTTCACACTGTAGAAAAGCTACGAGGATTCGCTGCTCTACCACCCCCACCGATTCCACCGTTTATATTATTTGTGCTTCGATGGCTCACGCTAAAGCATTTGATGCCCATCTTCCGCAAGGTATAGCGCACGATCGTCGAGAGAGAGCCGACAGTCGTACGGATGTGCGATGGTGGCCGGAGGTTCGCGTCAAGCTCGAAGCCCGAAGAGTCGAAGGAGGGTCGTCTCGCTTCGGCGATACAGCGGCAGTCCTCCCCCTTCCAGCGGCCGAACTTCCTCGGCCGCATTTGGCTTTCCACTAAGCCCACTTGCCAGTGCATTTTTATTTGAAAGAGCATAATTGGTGCCCGAAAATTAAAATTTAAATAATCAAAAATATATATATCTATCCTATCTATATCTATAATACTATAAAAAAAGTGGTTGAAATTTCACTCAATATAATCTAGTCTTCTATTTAATATTAAAAGATGAATCTCAAATTTTCATTTTATTATACATTTAATTAACTATATATTAATTTATTTTATTCATTTAAATGCATCAAAATGTTTTATTTTTACATTAATTACATTTAAGAAGAAAAAATTGATGCATTTAATTATATTTATTTTTATACTCAATTAGGATAATTGATGTTCATTTTATGTATACATTTAATTAACTTCATTTTTTCATTTAAATGCATGACGTTTTTTATTTTGTTTAAATTTATTGCATTTAAGTAATAGTCAATTTGTGTACTTAATTATATTTACTTTTATATTCAATTACGATTAAAATATTTATTTATTTTATATTTCTTAATTAATACATACTCTATCAATAATAATTAATTCATTAAATATATATATATATATTACTATTATAAAATGCTTGAATTTCTTAAATCAAATCAATCCTAGCCTTCCATTTTAATTAATCAAATTAAATTCTAATATTTCATTTTAATTATTTTAATTATATTGATTAATAAATATAATTTTATTCTTATCAAATATATTTTATTAATTATCATAATGAAATATTAATTTTTCATCTAAGTGAAAGTCTTCATCTTCCCTTAAATAATTTTGACCATTCTTAATAATAAAAATGACAAAATCATATCCATGTATCCCTCAACCTAATGGTATTCTGTTGTAACCCGTCGCATTTTGAATCCTAACCTTTCATTTCAATTATTTTAATTATAATTGATTAATAGATATAATTTTATTCGTTTCAAATATATTATATTAATTATCATAATGATATATTATGTTGTGAATCTGTTTTCAATGATTATAATTTTGATGATAGCAAACACTTTTGTTTATCTACAACTGCCTTACCTACTAATATTTCAGGTCCACAAGATCAGATTGCAATTTGAACCAGCTCAAGATTGTGTAGAATAGGTCTGATTCAATTTGTATAATTTTTCCTTTCTTGAGTCAATTATAAACAAAGTGGTTCCTGATGCTAAGTAACCTTGCACACACACACCTTAAGAGAATTTCTGACTGTTTCATAGAGTTTGTTATTTTTGGTAACATCGTCCGGGACGATCCAAAAATTGTCTTGGATCATATGGTCATAAACAGAAACCGTAATTAGGTCATTATGAGTAAGGCAGACGTCGTTAAGCAGATCATTCTGGATGATATTTGTATCGGCCGGGATGATAGGCTCAAATCAGAAAGAATCGGCCACTAGATTTTTTAGGTATTCTTTATTTTTGGACATCGTCCTGGACGATGGAGCACAATTATGCCTAAATTAATCTGGTAATTAAGAAAAGCAATTAAGGATTGATTGATATGATCACATCATCCTGGACGATCTCAGAATGGTCGGGACGATCAGTTCAAAAAACTTTAGTTACTCCTGGACGATCAACATCGGACAACACTTATTCAAGGCGATATTCTGGATGATTTTTCTCGGATTTGAACTAATCGTCCGGGACGATCGTGAGATTGGCCCAGACAATCAAGCTATTTTTTGATCGTCCAAACATCCATTTAGAGCGATGGTTTGGCCGATATTATATGATTTGAACTAATCGTACAGGATGATATCCTATCATTCTAGCTGATTAAGCTTAAATTATACTGATTGTACATGACGATATTTACATCGTCCTAGATGATAAAGTCGGCAAGTTGCAATAAATGAGTTATTATGAAGCTCTTCTCCTATTTAAGAGCTCTTGTTCTACCCTTTAGAACATCTTTTGCTGCTATCTTGACCTGAGAGAGCCTAGAGGAGAGGGAGAGAGAAACTTGTGAGGGGGAGTTTGTGAGAGGGTTCACAAAGGTTGTTCCAAGAAAGATTCATCTTCTCCGATCGTCGTCCTTTGTTCTTGGGGGTTCAAGGGAGGTCTACTTCCGTAATCGGTCAAGGTTCTCTACCTACTTCAGGAGGAAGCAAAAGGAGTCGGGTTCTCTGCCTCACCGGTGTCTGTGGAAAGGAGGTTTTATAAAGGCTTCTCCGCCTTACTATGGGAGCAAAAGGAGAGTCACTAAGTTTAGTGCAATATCCGAAGGGCGCCTCTAGGGAGTGAACGTAGGTCGAGTTAACCGAACCACTATAAATCTCTGTGTTCCTTTACTATTCTTTTTCCATATTTAATTTCTGCACTTCTTATTTTCTTTGTGGTGAATAATGGTTTATGTTTTGAGTTTTTGATTGAAAGAATTTTTAAAATATTTTATTACATGATTATGAACTTTTTTGTATGAAATCTTATGAATTAATTTTTAAAATATATACAAGGTTTACTCAAATTATTACCTCTTTGCATGTCTTAGGAAAGAGAACTCACTAACTATGAAAAAGTGAATAAAATTTTAAGATGCTTGCCTTCCTCTTTTATTTCTAAAATCACTACAATTACTTAATCCAAAGATTTGCATACTTACTCGATTGATAACTTACTTGGATCATTCATTACTTACGAGCAAGGGGTGAATAAAAGAAATGTTGATGCAGGTGAGAAAAAGAATGAGAAAATTGTGACGCTGAAGGCCAACAACACGGACACTGATTCTTCCGTGTTTGAAAGTGATGATGTTGCCTTAATTACAAGGAAATTTATAAGCTTTGTAAGGAAGAAGCAAAAGAATCATCAAAAGTGGAATAAAGGTAAGGAAAATAAAAATTTCAAGAGTTCTAATGAAATGATCTGTTTTGAATGCAGGAAGCCAGAACACATTAAAGCTGATTGTCCCACACTTAAGGCTCACCCAAGCAAGGAGAAGGGTGAGGAGAAACCTAAGATCAAAAAGGATAAGAAGAGGTTCCAAAAGGTGTTTTGGGTAGATTCTACGTCAGACTCCTCTGAGACTGAAGCTGAAGATGAGACAACAAACTTGTGCTTGATGGCAGATTATTATCTTGGTCAAAGTGACCAAGAAGATGTATGTGAACTAACTTATGAGCAACTACTTGAAGTTTCTAAACAAATTCATGCATCATATAGAAAATTTAAGAAAACACATGCTAGCTTAAAATTAGAGTTTTTAAATTTACAAAAAGAGCATGAAGTTCTTCTTAAAGATCATTCTATAATTGATAGCAATCACATGTCTTTAATTCATGAGTTTGATGTATTAAAAAAAGCATGTTGAATTATCTGATGCACAGAATTCCTTGAAGTCATCCCATGCTAAGTTAGAAAAGGAATTAAAAAAATTAGAAAATCTCAAAGCTTTTGAAAAAAAAAACCTTCATTGCATGCATCATATAAAAAGAAGAATCACTACATTAGTAGATTAGTATATCTTTTTCCTGGAGTTAGATATTTTTTATGTGGCATGTTAGGACACATAGCACACACTTGCACCATTCACCATAATACACATTAGGTGTGGAGACCCAAAATGCTTGATTCACAACACAACATACATGCATTACATACTACTTTCTATAAGAAGGGACCCAAACATATTTAGGTTCCTAAATATGACATTTGATAATTTTTTAGGCTTGCTCTCATAAAAAGCCTCATGAGAACATGTGGTACCTGAACAGCGGATGCTCACGATACATGACTAGAAATCCTAATCAATTTGTTTTGCTCGAGGCAATGTCACTCTTGGAGATAACACCACCAGGAAAGTTGTTGGCGTAGATATAATTGGAAATTCCAAAAATCTTTTGATTGAAAATGTTTTGCTTATAGATGGACTAAAACACAACTTGCTTTGTATTAGTCAGCTATGCGATAAAGGCTTCATCATAAAATTCTTGGCAAACACTTGCATCATAAGCTTAAATAATAATACTGTTTGTAGGGAAAGAGGATCAATAATATTTACATGCGTGATTTAAATAATATTAAATGTGTTGCTTCATTTTGCTTAAAAATTGATGCTGATAATTCTTGGTTGTGGTACAGGAGATTATGCCATGCCAATATGAAAACCCTTAGGAGAATGACCAAAGAAGACATAGTTAGAGGTATCCCTAAGTTTAAGTTCACATAAGACCACCTTTATGATGCATACCAATTAGGAAAACAAGTCCATTTCACTTTTCATACCATTAAGGACATTAGTACCTCTAGACCTTTAGAAGTCATTCACATAGATTTTTTTGGACCCATTAGCACTGCCAGCTTAGGAGGGAAAATCTATGGTTTTGTGATTGTTGATTACTACTCGAGGTTTACTTAGATTAGATTTTTTTCATATAAAAATGAGTCTTTTGATGAGTTTAGATCCTTCTTCACTTGGATTCAGAAAAAGCTAGATTGTGAGATCTTGACCATCCATAGTGACCATTGGGGGGAGTTTGAAAATGAGAGATTACGAGACTTTTGTGAGTGTTCGAGGATTTCAACATGCAGCGCAATGTCGAATCGAATAAATATTTAAAATGCCCCCAATATGATGGGAGATTTTGAAATGCATTCTTGCTACACAAGAGAA